GGATCATTTTAATGACTGCAGATATGTCTTTGTTCTACTGTGAGTTAGCGGTATTGAATATTTGATCAAGAATGTTTCTACCGGATATAGTGTTCAACTTACCACGAAAGGCGACGTTAGAGGGTGGTATGTTCACAGTGTTTTGGACTGTGTATGTGTTTGACGTCGATAGTTTAAACTAATTGACCGTGTCACCTGACCGGATCTTCAACATACTCTAGTTTCGAGCGTCATTCACACGGGTGAAATTATTAATTGCTCTGAAAGTTAATTACGATGACTTATGATTTGTGCTTTAGCCTTGTTCCCGTATTATATAAATAAAAAAGTTTGTTGTCAATGATTTGGAAACTTTTTGAAGAGACGTAAAGCTGAATACTGTTTTCAATGTTTACATGTGACTTTTTGGTCGTTTGGCATTATTTAAGCAAAGTACAGGAAAGTGGGTTTGAGCACAGAATCCATGATTGAGCATGGGAATGGTTTCATGAATACGGCCCTAAGTCACCATTTGTAGTAGGTCGTAATATAAAAATAGTGATATCAGACAAGTTGAAGACTTATTTCGGTGAATAGGTAATTATATAGATATTAAAAAGTGTTAGTGACTCGTCTCGGTCAATATCACTTTCTCAGGTCATATAACGATATATTCCCCTCAACAAAAGTCCATTATTGATAAATTGTAATATACACCAACGAGAACAACCAGCACTATAGCAAGGTATCGCAGTGATAATGGACGAAACAAACATTTAGTAGATAAGATAACGAAATAAATCTGAACATACAACACAAATATTTGTTAAATTATAACAAATGGCATTTAGATTTAGAGACATATTTATCTTTTTATATGTTTGTTTTAGGTGTTTTTTTTTTCGTATTTCATATTAAATATATTTATATAGATATATGCACAAACGAAAACATCTATGATTATAGACAGGTTATACTGATGATACGCTAAACAGACACCATAGACAAATACAATGTAATTATTTTAGTTTAAACATACTTTATTGTACAAATATACAAATGGATTGGACAACAAGTTATTTCAACTTAATACAAGTCCTCTCCTAAATACATATGGTAAATACAATGTAAATGTTTTTGGGGAACGGGAGGAGGATAGGGTGGAGAAAGAAGGGTGTGGAGTTGGGGTGGGGGGATAGAGAATGGGGGTTACCTAGAAAAGAAATCGTGTAAACTGTGAAAAAGAAACGCATTTTGAATAAATTATAAATTATACAAAATGTTATGACATGCAGCCCGGTATAGTAATCTTATAATGAACAAGATTAATGTAACAAAGTAATCAGGCAAAATAATGAAATGTAATTTCATAAACATATATAACAACGTACACATATAAATAAAAATAAGGGATAACTATAATTATCAAAACCTATTGCTGGATTTGATGTAATGATGCACTTGTCTAAAAACTTTTGTATTGATTTCTACCGAAAGTTGAGTATTACCAAACAAAAATAATTCTTAATCAAAATCAACATACAAGGCATTCAAATTTTGGAACAGGATGCGTCTTTCGTCGTTAAAAAGTAAGCACTCACAAAAAAAGTGAAAGGCATTTTCACAGGAATGGCCACAATTACAAACTGGACTATTAACAAGATTTACCGTATAAAGATCATATTTAAGTGGACTACACTGATATCTAAGTTTTGTATGCAAAATGTTTAATTTACGTTCACCGAAACCTAAGTAGATTGGCGAAGGAGATATTACGTTTGAAGTTAACGAGTTTTTAAAATAATGTAAAGAAGTCAATGATCATACTGCAAGGTCCAATGGATTCCAACTGCGAAGAGTTGAAGGTATAAAAGATGAATTTGTTAGAGAAAGCCTGAAAGGAAGAAATCTATAATGATTATTGTTTCTAAGGGTGTAACGGTTATTTTCTGCAACGGTAGACGGCAATAGATCATTTAAATAGTCCGGAGTTAATTCATTGTGCATCTTATACAAAAGTTGAAGTTTTCTGCGTTTTCTTCGATTCGAAAGAGTTTCTAGACCAGATTCAAAAAGTAAATCTTCGATTTTGGCATAAGAAGGAAGTCCTGTAATTATACGAGTAGCTTTTCTTTGGGCTTTCTCTAACATTTCTGTTTCATAAGTTGTACAATCATCCCACAATTCACAAGCATATTCTAAAACTGGTAAAATAAAGGATTTATAAATCTTTAAAAGATTATCTCGATTCAATAAGTATTTGAGTCTACGTAAGATGTTGACTTTTTTCATAACTGAAGTATATATTATAAATATGATCCCCCCCATTTTGGCCTTGAATTAAAAATAACACCTAAATGTTTATGATGATCAGTAAAACTTAAAAATTCGCCATTCAATTCTAATTCTAAATCTTCATTAATTTCAACCGAGTTTGAAACAAAAAATACTTCAGTTTTTTCTGGATTGAATGTTACTAACCAAGTTTGGGACCATGCATCGAGATCTCTATTCAGAACCGTTTGGATTTCTAGACACGAAGAGGATGATTTAAACAATGAAGTATCGTCTGCAAAAAGACGAGCGGTTGACTCAAAAACATCAGCAATATCATTAATATAGATAAGAAACAAAAGAGGTCCACGAATCGAACCCTGAGGATCACCTGTGACAATGAAACGTAAGTGGGAGTAAGTATTATTCAAAAAGACTTTCTGGTGCCTCTGAAATAGGTAATTTTCGTACCATTGATAAAATTCTACCGAAATTCCATAAGATTTTAACTTAATCATCAAACCCTTATGCCAAACCCGATCAAAAGCCTTAGAAATATCGCAGAATACCATACATACATGTTTTCCCCCTCTAGAGCAATACAGATGTTATGATAAATTTCAATGAGTTGGTAAACAGTAGAATGACCAGGCAAAAAAACAGACTAATACTTATAAAAAAAATGAGTTTTCAATAAAATAATTATGAAAATTACTCTCTCAAAAACTTCGCCAACTGTAGATAATAAAGAAATTGGTCTGTAATTAGAGGGAGAATGCCTGTCACCTTTTTTAAACAGAGGCATAACTTCGGCTGTTTTCCAAGTGTTTGGGTAAACACGAGACGATAAAGACATCTTAAAAATAATTCAAGGGGAACACAAACGGTTTCTGATGTTTTTCGTAGCATATGATGACTGATTCCATCCTCACTCGAGGCCTTACCAAGCTTCAATATCTGCAAAACTTCTCGTATTTCATTACTATTGACTCTAATGGACCTAAGACTCTTGTCAGTTTTTGGCTCGACGAAAGGAACCGCAGTATTTCTGTCATCCACACGAGTAATATTGCAAAAATAGTCGTTTAATAAATTAGCTTTGTCTTCGTCACTAGTAACCACATCATCAGAAACAGAGTAGAGTAGGTATAGATTGTGTCGAACCGGACGATTGTATTAACCTTTTGATGAGTCTCCAATAAGCTTTTGGATCAGAAGATGAGTACTCTTCAATAATACCATGAATATTTTCATAAAATAATTTACGGGCATACTTTTTCATGTTGATAACCTTATTCCGTTGAGATTTGAATGTGTTGATGTCCGAAAGATGTTTGGTTGACCTCGCAAATTTATGCAACTTATCTCTAATTGTTATTGTTTTTCTTAATTCAGAGGTCATCCATGGTTTATCATTAGGTCTCATAGTTACATCTTTTGATGGAATACATAAATTTGCAAATTTTAGGAACGTATCAGTAAAACGATTACAGGCAGTATCAGCCGAATCACAATTTTAAAAAAGTTCATTCCAATTATAATAAGAAATAAGATAATTAAATCTGTCAAAATCTGCACGCTTATACATCCAAATTTTTCGCTTAAAGATAGGTTTGACAATACAGGGAATATCAATGAAAGCAGTACCACCGTCATGGTCACTGAATGATTTGTCTATTGTAATAACAGAGAAGTCAATACAGGAAAGTGAGTCTGTTAAAAGTATAGGATAAAGTAGGCTAGATCGAGTCGGTCCAATACGAGTCGATTCATTTATCATACTTTACCATACTAAATGAATTAATAATATCAAGAAAAGCATGGTTACGAGATGCAGTTAATAAGTCGACATTTAAATCCCCTGTGATTATAACATTTGGTGAAATATCTAGGGCAAGGTTTAAGGACGTACGTAAATTTTCCCAAAATGGTAAAACAGAATTTTCAGGGCTGTTTAATAACCAATACAAAATTTGGTAGAGTGATTTTCAACCAAATAATCTCATATTTTATTGATATAAACCAGAACACCACCACCAGCGAAATTTCTATCAAGTCGAAAAGGTACATGAAAACCACGCCTCGGGCCAGGATTGGACTCGATGTCCATATGCTGTAATAATAGTAAAAATAAGATTATAGTGAACTCAATATTTCGAAAGCATGAAAAGATTAAAAGGTTTAAATGATTAATAAACCACGATATTTGATACCAACAAAAATCGAACACCCGTAAAAATGAACCCAAAGAACTTCATCATACATCTGCCGTATAGTAACTTTAGTATAACAGGTATCAATCGCTATTCTGTGACACATATACGAATTACCCATTGTCAAATACGTAACAGAATGAACTGATAAAAAATAGCGAGTTGGTACCACCATACCAGGACAAGGTACAATCCAGATTGGGGTGAGGGGGGATATGTATGTGAGAAGAGTGCAGAAAAGTAAGAGGTATGGTCGAGTGATGGAGAGAGTGGGAATCGTCATATGGGTAGGCAGTATATATACAGATGGGGGACACAGGAACGTGGATCGGGGTGAATAAAGATAACAATAACCAATATTGATCTGTATGGGGATTCGCATTGGAACAGTCTTGAGAAGATAATACGAAAACAATGAAAATATAATAATAATAATAATAATAATAATAATAATAAAATAATAATAATAATAATAATAATAATAATAATAATAATAATAATAATAATAATAATTATAAGATAAGCATATGAGGTATGAGATAGTAAAGGCTATATTAACTATATGAGTGTAGATGTAGCATCATTAAGGAAAAATAATTGTTATATTACAGGTACATTACATACACTTTAAACTATTTTTAGGAATTGCATAACTAACAAATAAACAACTATTAAAAAAACAGCTTGAGTATGCACACGAGAACCTGAATGTATCAGTGCGCCCTCAGGTACTAGCCTCGTCTCCCAACACACACTAAATTATGGGTGTATTGACAGACGAGGCCAGTACCTGCAGTGCACCAAATGGGCGATTTGACCAGTCGTGTTTACCTTTGTGTGGAGCATTTTTTACGCATACGGTATGGGTCGATCCCATTATACATAGGTAGAGGCAGGTCCACGGAACGGGTGTACGTATCGACACATGCGTACATGTAACCCTGCATTTCATGTATGCGTGTGGCAACGGTTTTAGGAAGAATCCGAAGTACATAATCAATAACAAATACATATTAGCAGCATTCGAACCAGAATTCTGATCATTTAGTTAACATTTACTGTACAAACCAAATTCTGTAGATAATTTATATTTGACTAAATTGGACGTAATTTCTTAGGAGGTAAATATATAAAAAAAGGTCAACACGACATGACAATATATATACATGTACATGGAAGTGATATATATATATATATAGACAAATCGGGAATACATAGTCTCTAGCACCGGCGCTCAGTCACACATCAACCAATATTGAACCGGTAACACGGTACGTCATATCACAGGGACCCGAGAAACAGTCACAGCCTCACCCGGACCCACTCCGAACACCACAGCCCAGGTCCAATTACAGCTGCAACACACTCACAGGCCCCTGTGAGTTTAGCCTTCACATGTCAAGAAATTGAGTAGTGATGAATAGAAAATATACGTGCAAGAACAAAAATTATATACGCAATTTCAAGAAAAGTACATTTTAAGATTTCCCCGATATTTGTTGAAATAAAGGATCTTCCTATAACACCACTCATATTGTTATCAATTTCAAGTTTGTGACAATCAGTTCATGTCATTTATTTCCTCAAAAATATTGTTTAAACTGTAACACTTCCGGTAACACATGAACACCACTTAAACGATAAAAAATATATAACCTACCGCATTAACCTTTGTATTCATATGGGACAGTCTCATTGACGACAGGTATGGGCAGGGTTTACCTGGACGGGGAAGTGATTTGTATTCGGTGTGAATTACCAGTAACTAATATACAATTATCTTTCAGACTATTGGGGCATGGGTTTTAGATTCATCACTGTTCAGTCACAAAAATAACACAATGTAAAGCCAACACGACAGCTCATATAATACCAGTTGCACTGACATCGTTTGCTAAAGTTTCAATTCGTGTTTTCAGACACAAAGTGACAAATAGTTACACACAACTAGTATACCCGCACGCGCGAAACGTCAAACGCGCAGGAAAACCTGCACGTGTTCAATATGGCAAGAAGTTGATTCTGCTAATTTAATGATAAAATACACTTCTAGCAGAGTATGGAAATATACGCACTGTATACAAATGTAATTATTACATAAATGGATAAAAAAATAACCGCAAAAGACTAACAAACAAACTAATAATAATAAACTAAGTCTAAGTTAATCTAATATAGATATAACCGACATCTGTTTATTAATTGGAAAATGGTTACTACTTAGAACAAGAAACATTCTTACGGTTTTTGGAGAAGGTTGAGAAGTTGAACTTTTGCAGGTCGCTGTAGTTCGACATTGCATACACGAACTCTCCGAAGAAGCGCTTTTATCTTGGACATAAATTAAAGACAATCAAAATGTCACTTTTAAGATTCGAACCCGGTACCTCAAGAAGATAGTCCATTTTCATGACACGGCTTGTTTAATAACGCTCTCCTTGAACATCTTTTTAAAAAACTCTTACTTAGGTTTTTTCGGGGGGAGCCCATTACTTTCCTTTTGGAAGGTAATAATGTTTTCTGTCGAAGTTCATCAATAAAATAAGAAAAAAATCAAGTGCAAATAAGATAAAAATTACAATAGTACTTCTTGGTCACAAGGGTAAGTTATATTCAGAAGTTTGGAAATCTCAGGTGCATTGATGCTAATATGAAAGCTCAATTTTCAATCAAAATTGATTATGAAATTAACATTTGTTTTATATTTCTTACTTATGTAGGTCGGTTATACCAAATACCAAAATGTAAATTTTACTTCATTTTCGAAAAAGAACGTGGAAGAAATGATACCTTATCGAAACCGGTCAACCTTTTGTTAAATATCAGTATCAGTGATTTAATGTGTCTTATCTTTAGCAAAGAAAAACGTGAGGTTTCAAAACAAATAAAACCGGATATTTGAATTATCCGCAAAAATAGTTATAATGGAAATGTCGTCCTAGCATCATAATCAGAGTTGTCTCTCTTGGCGTGAAGATTGATTTCCACCACAACTTTTGTTTTGTTGAGGTGAGTATGTGGTAACATGAACAAGACAAGAGGATATATTAACCGAGACGAAAGTCCTTCAGAGTTATTTAAGATAGGAAATTGTCCTATTTTTATTCCAAGTACAAATGTTTTATAAGAAAAACGAGTCCATCACTGGAGGGCATCGAGAAGTTTCCGAAAGAATTCCGGGCGACCATTCCTATCATTTTCCCACTCTATATAGGTGATGGCGAGGAGGAGGTTCCGAATGGTATTATCGACGGGCCGGTGTCTAATGTCCTCAAGCATTATGATAACAACAGAGGATGCTCCCTCCGCTATTATCCTGTTGTAGGCGGTCGTTGCCTCGAAGAGGCACCATTCACTGTTGACAAAGTCTACAGAGAAAAGCAATATCACTTTCCGGCTCACCTTAATATTTTTAACGATGTTGTCGGCAATAAAATTCCCTGGAAGGAAATCCCTTTCGTGGATACAAAGACGCAGCTTCCTCTGTTGCTCGAGGAAGGGCAGAAGATGGTTTATGACCCAGAGTCTATTGTCCACGTGGTGAGCGACGAATGCGTCATACACAAAGTCTTCGCCGTCTGGAAGACGGTCGTACGGTTGCAGAGAGCGGACGAGTAGCATTCTGTGTTTGATATGATAACGTCCTTTGTAAACAATAAAAGCTATCAGCAGGAACACACCTGCTAAACAGCCTAACCCGATCCCTATCACAACTAGCGAGCCCACAGCAGATTGACATTCATATTTTTCCGGTTCAAATTTGGCAACAGTCTTTGTCTTCCATTTGTCGGGGGATAAACACACATACATTTGATATTTATTAGAAAGTTTGTTTATGTTGTCTTTTAGCCAACTCTTAAACCATAACAAATTGCACGTGCATTCGAGTGGATTACTTGTAGCGGTAAAGTATTTCAAATTATCCCAGATATGCTGAGGAAATGAGTTTTGTTCAAACACGGCAATTTGGTTTCGAGTGAGATTTAATTTTTCCAATTGTTGTCTCTTGAAAATTTCGGGATTCCATCCTTTTATATAATTACCAAACAAATCAAGCATTGTCAAATTATCCATTGTTGATAGAAAGGAAATATCCCAGACAATTCCATATCTAATTGAAAAATCCTTCATATCGACTAAATGCGAAAACATATCTGTAAGATTATCGGATATGTTTTGGAAAACAACATTTGTGAAATGTAGCGTACGTAAATTTGGGCACTGCTTGAACATGTTGACATGTTTCGGCCGTAGAATAAGCTGTTCACTAGTGGTAAGACGGAGTTCCAGCAATGTTGATGCGTTAAAGGCGAGCGGCTCAATATCGATTCTACTGCTGACATACTTAAGGTATATTGTGTTGATTCGGGGGAGCCGAGAGAACACGTTATCAGGAATTTTAAAGATATGATTGTTATTGCTTAAAATTAAGCTCTGCAGACTCAAAAGACAATGCCCTTCCGAATTGAAAACTGAAATGTTAGACAGGAAGTTCCAGGAGAGATCCAAAACACGTAGCCCTTTTGAAGAACCAGATTCGTTTGCACAGAAATGGAGATTTGTCGACTCTATTTTGTTTTCTGCCAAATTTAAGATCTCGATTTGATTCAAATTGGCTGTGAACGGAAAAGCTTGTAAGTTATTGTTTGCTAGGTCGAGAATATTAAGAGAAGGAAATCCGTTTGAAAATAAAGTAGCATTAAAGTTTTCGATCATATTTCCTCGGAGACTGAGACTACTAACGTGTGTGAAAGGCATGAACACGTAGTCAAGCTTGTTTCTAATCCCCGCATTGTCCAGGTTTAAATGGGTAAGGTTTATATTCACCAACGCTCGAGATAAGTCCATAAAAGGGTGCTTCTGATTTCCATTCATATTTAAGTGTTTTAACCGTTGGAAATCCAGAAATGCGTCGTTTGAGATATTCATTACTTTACAGTTATCAAGCATTATCGTTGTAATATTAAGCGTTTTAACCTTCTCAAATAGATTTCTAGTAACTGTAGTCAAGTTGTTTTGGGAAAGAACGATTTTTGTAATGTTGCTGCGCAAGACCGGGACTTTCGTTATGTTCCGGTTGCTACAATCTGCAGTGACATTTAAGCAATCACACGGAAAACACACATGTTCCTGTGCGGTTTGTTTGACGAGCAATGCATCAGCAGACAAAATAATTACCGTAAACGTTACAAATGTCTGGAAACTCATCATCGACGTTTGGATCTTTTGCCGCTCACCAAAGGTATCGATGGCAGGGTCTTGTTTTGAAAGTTTGCTTGAAATGTATCCACTGAAAATACATTGAAGACAACATTATACTAATATCATTTAAAAATAATAATTATGATAACAATGTGTTAAGTTATATGCTAATCTACTACATAGCCCTCAAGATAATTTTGTATTGAAACAGATTGTCTGAGGCATATCTTCTATGCTATTTCACTTGGAGTAACCAGATTTGGTATGCATGTACATCATGGGATGGTGGAATGTCAAATACACAAAAAAGGTCACTATGAACGGTGTTTTTGCTTTTGACCCAAAATTTAAAAAAAAGTTCGTTCGTGGCATATCTTAGACTAATTCACCTGGGCTAACCAAATTTGATTATTTATGTAAGTATGTTTTAGCCTGAGTAGTACAGGAAGTTTTTCACCCTGACCTATATGCTAAAATAGGTGTACAACTCAGTGAATATGGAAATCATTACTGGTTGGGATAGATTGCTTAAATGTTAATAATAATAATAATTTGAGGTTCTTATATACCGCTTTATCACAATCTTTTTTCTAAGTCGTCTCAAAGCGGTTCACAAATTATTATCCGTGGTTGTAGGGCCTTTGCAACCATCCAATATCATTCTCAACTCCCTGGGGAGCATACAGCCGGTGCTGCCAGTTCGGCGCTCACAGCTAGCATTCAACAATATTCTTGCACTGCCCAACCATGTTCTCATTCACAGCTGAGTAGACTGGAACAAGCGGATAAAGTGTCTTGCTCAAGAATACAACATAGTGCCGTGACGTGACTCGAACCCGTAAACCTTCGGTGACGAGCCCGGCGTCCTACCACTAGACTACCGTGCTTTACAATATTTTACCTTGGTTAGCATTGGTCTTATCACAGTTCTAGTTAATAGGTAGGCACAGGAAATTGAGCATGGAAGCGGTGTTGTTTTTCTTGATTTAAGGAAGACTTTAACTTTGTTAACCATACTGTATCATTTGAAAAATTGGTTATGTATTAATGTGATGACACTGCTGTATCTTGGTTCAAATTTGATATAACTGATAAGTATCAAAAGGTCTCCATTTCAGGAAATCTATCTGAGGCCAAATGAAAAACCCACGAGGTACCTCAGGGATCAATCCGTGGTCCTTTAATGTTTTGAGTATCAATCAACGGTTTAACACTGATAACAGTGCAGACATGTACGCAGATGTGAAATTAGAACATGAGTTAAAGAAAGTGGAAGACTGGTGTTCTGACAATAAAACGATCGTAAAAGAAGATAAGACAAAATGTGTGGTTTTTGTAACCAAACAGAGGCGCTGTTAGCAAAGTGAAGATTGAACTAAATGATTTTAAAAATGAAAAAATACAACATGTAAATACTGAAAAGCTTTTGGAAGAAAAATTAGACCACCACTCATCTGTTCAGAACATATAAATTTCATTGTAACAAAAGTAAATAGTGGACTTGTACTTCCCCATCGTATCAAAAAGTATCTGGCTGTAAGTGGAAGGTTCCACAAATTTGATTCACGTGTATTTCCGCGTTTTCTGTACTGCTGTACAGTGTGGGGAGACAACTGACAATGTACCCCGGACTATTTATGTTCTCGTTTGAGCATGTATACAGTGTCCATTGCAGAGGTACAAGACGGGAAGAACATAATTTGTTGGACATTCCTAAGCACAGGATAACCTTCTATTCTTGTCACCTTGTTTTATCAAGTTGTTTAAACATGGAATGCGCTTCCAAATGATGTAAGGTTGTTACCATCTTTTAACACTTTTTAAGCAAAAAGCAATTAAGCGCTTTTGTTATTCATACCTTTAGATAAGAAAATAGCAGTTAATTCATGCTGTATTAAAAAATAAACTTGATTTATTTTACAACAATCATAACATTGGTTGACCCCAAACCTTTGCACGTCAGATCGGGGAATCGAACCCCGGCCGCCTTGGTAAAAGACAAATGCTATATTAGAGTATATTCTGGCAATTTTTGGACTTTGCCATGTAAGCATGTATGTTTATTAGAGACCAGCCATTTAACTATTACCAGACCCTAAGTATGAGATTAATGCTTGCTGTGATATTTGATGTATTAAACTATATCAATGAATATGATATTATCAGCAATTTCACAAATGTAATTTTAGGTTCAATTTATGTTTTAATTCATATTACGAAGTTTTGTTTTTAAAAATCTATGAAGACTTGCGCATTTTACTAATAAAGAGAACTCTGAAGGAAAGTAGAGGCTAGATCAGGCTAGATCAGGTGTAGAAAGTAGAAGGTAGAAAGTAGAAGGCTAGATCAGGTTTTAGTAATCAATGATTAAAACTATTAATATAAGTATGACTTTTATGGTGCAATTAGTAAAAAGGAGTTGTAAAAGGAAATATGTGTAGGTTTCCCATTTACTTTCGATATATCTGCTCTTTAGTTATTGAAATACTCAAAATAGATTATCTGTTGCGAAGCAAATATTTCCCCTTATCGGTAAAAAAACAGGTTTTTGCCTTGGAAAGAATAAGTGTCTATAAGGCCCCTTTTTGGGCACCGGTACATCCGGATTTTCACCTCCTTACGTTATCAAAGATGTCCCATTGTATAACATACGCAAAAAGTAAGGCAAAAGTTTGACCAAAAGAGGTAGGTATATCACAAATAAAAGCTGTTGTTTTCAAAATGAGCTAAAACAACCAAAATAATCTCTGTTTTTGAAAACATGTGAAAAATAAACAGGCATATATAAAAGAATAAAAAATGACAGAAATTCAACCGTCACTTAAAGATTGTTAATATAAAAAGGAGGATTAAGTGAGGGGGCTCTTTAAGGTAATTTTCCGAAGAAAAGTGTTTTGTTTTCTCAATGATTTCCTTTTAATTTAAATTTTGAGTCCGAATTTACAATTTTACTTTCATAAAATGCATGTTCACTACACACTTTCCTTTTGTTTAATACTGGGTTATGGCAATTTCAAAAACCTCTCTATTTAAAGTTAATGAAAAGGTGCATGACAACCTGTATATATATGATATAAGTATGAAATAATAATAGATAATATTGTATATTTTATAGATCACATAATGTGTGCTCAGCATCTGTGGCTGGAGTGAGTTCCAGATCCTGATTTGTTTTCTTACTTATCAAAGTTAACATACAACTAAAAATGACCATAGTGCACCGTACTCTAATAAACTAGGTACAACTGCACTCCACTGACCCGAGTATAAACGTACCCCATCGAACTAATTCGGCACAGTGCAGTCTACATACTAACACATTGCCCTTTAATAAACTATTTCCCCCGCCCCAGGAAATCAACCACATTACAACAATAAGTCGTGTACAACACTATTTGTACATAATATTGTACAGTCCGTCTCAATCCGAGGTCCCCTGTATGAAATCTCCATCCAAACTATTAAAATCGATCTTTTACATCACAGTAAATCACATTCTAATTACATACCTGACCAGTGAATGGGACCAATACACCCGACTGGCGTTCCTGTGTTGTTAACTAGTTGTTCACGTGTCTTATCTTTATGTTTCAACTACATTTGTATTTACTTCCCTAAGTAAATAGCATGGGAAATAGTCATTATAATGCACGGTAGGCAATTTCATGTTTCCTTACCGCATAATCATACCGGGGCATGGATCGCTTTATATGTAATATAAGAGACCAATACGTCGACTTGCATGTCGACTTTATCTGGATTCGTGAAACACTTAATTGATAAGTGTTTACTGACGCCAGATGTTTTTTTTTTACATAAATACTTAGTTTTCATTGACTTGTTTAATGGGTCGGTATTTGCCGTCAGTCTACGATGGGGCGATGTATTTCTTATTATACCCCCACAACGAAGTTCGGGGGGTTTACTTGAACCAGCTTGTCTGTCCGTCCGTCCGTCTGTCCGTCCGTAGATATTTTGTCCGGACAACTTCTTCAAAAGTAATGGACCGATTTCAACGAAACGTTCTAGGTATAAATACCACCTGAACTTGTGCATCAATGTATTTGTTTTTCATTCTGACCCTTTTTTACGAAGTTATGGGACTTTGTTGAAAACCCCCTTTTTTGTCCGGACAACTCCTTCTAAAGTTATGGATTGATTTTAACGAAAGTTTTCAAATATGATAACTACCAGCTGCAATTTCGCATCCGGGTATTTTTTTTCATTCTGACTCCGTTTTACAAAGTTATGACCTTTATTGAAAAATCCTTGTCTGGACAACTCCTCCAAAACAACAGGGCCTATTTCAACGATAGGTTTCATAAATGATAACTACTACCTGCAGTTATGCATCATGGTGTTTTTTTCCATTCTGAACACTTTTACAAAGTTATTGCCCTTTGTTGAAAAATGCTTGCCCGCAAACATTCTCCAATACTTTTGGGCCAATGTCATTGAATTTTTTCACATATTGTAATTACCCCCTGACGTTGTGCATTCAAGTAGTACTTTTTCATCCAAGTAATACTTTATCATTCCAACCTTTTAAAATGAGTTATGGGCTAACAAGATTTGGTATGTTAGTATGTTTTGGAATGGGGAGGGAGTACAGGATGTTTGTCAGTGACCTGTATACTTCAATAAGTGTACAGCTCAGTCAATAAAGAAATCATTACTGGTGGGAGGCAATGCTTTGCCTTAGTAAGCCGTAAGCTTACAGTTCTGGTTTATATAGGAGCAGGGGTATTAGTTAGTCTTTAGCTTACAGTTCTGGTTTATATAGGAGCAGGGGTGTTAGTGAGCCTTTAGCTTACAGTTCTAGTTTAACTTTTGTTCGTGCCCCATGTCATCTCCTATCAAGGGCATTTAATGAACTCCTCCTTCTTCACATATTCGGTAACTCAAGTCTCGCTATCGGTGTATGTTTCCCCTCCCTTATGTTTATAGATATTTAGGTAATATATTTTTAAGTAAGTACTAATTAATCATCAAATTATTTTTATTTTTTCTGGCCTTATATGGAGCTCACTGCGCATGCACAGATTACTAATCAATTAAATGTTTGTGTAAACTAGTTCGTATATTAATCTGTAAAATTGAGTTTAAATAAATTGACCCGGTAATTAGTTAAGCCCCACCGATGCAGTTCGGTCTACTTTCCTCTTATCAGCAACACCTGTTACACTGTTAAATGTCGCCACTACTCCCACTGTCAGCATTGTCAACTTAATGTCTTTATAAATAGAGCATATCGTCCCTTAACCAGACACTGTTTATCTGATGCTCACTCTCAAATACTCCTTGAGACCCTCTCTGCTCTATCATAAAATGACACTTGACTGTGCAATGTTAGAAGTGTGTCATAGATTTCGTCAGTCTGGGGTCATTTCCTTACGCTCGTATATGTTTTGTCTGGTCGATAGGGTTAGACGTCCTATCAACAGCCAAGGTCATTTAAGGACGTATTTCCAAGTGTGTTGTGTATGCGTTCATGTATGTATGTGTGCCGACGGCAGGGTATGTTGGTGGTAGTGCCTCCTTGAGATAGCACGGATCTGATGCAGACTTTATTATGATATCTCACTGAGGAGGACGCGGAAGGCACCCAGCACAGCATTCCGCCAGGTCACATTTTACAGACAACGAGTGAACCAGTCCGTCAATACATAATATTGTTCAACGTGCCTTTGAAACATTTCAAATATCTACCAGAAAATTAATGAATATATATTTACATTTAAATCACAAAATTGGTCAATCACGTGCCTGTTTGCTCTCTAACATAACAGTGCAATATGTTTAGGGTAAACAGGGTTTAATGTCATATAAACAGCTTAGTTTGTTTCAGGACGTACATGGATGTGTGTTTAATTTATACGTCCATGTGTGCATATGTGTTAGGAGTGCTATATCGGTGCAGAATATTGATGCAGAATTCAGAGAGCTACCTCACTGAAATGTCGAAGGCACCCATCACAGTTTTCAACACAGTCACATAATACTGACAATTGGTTCATAGTAAAGATACTAGCCAACGCATGTTAACATCTTTTTACAGCAATTTCACAGTGAAATAAGTATTTTAATACATTTCTTCAAACACTTCATAAATATATCAATTGTTTATCCTTAATGGAAATAGCAGCCGGATTTTGCTGAAATATTTTAATAAAAAATGTATAATTGCTAATAAAATGCTGGATTCCTCTGGTGTCCGACCAACATTTTAAAAGGTTTATTTTTGTGTCATTCTGATAGCGCAAAAGTGGCCCGCGTGGAAGTTGTCAGTGAATTAAAGCTGTTACCCCATTAAATAAAAGGTTAAGAACTGCCAAATAGACAATAGATACTTCAAAGTGGGAGGTATTATAAAGTGCCCTAGCAATCAAAACGCTTCACGTATTGTTCTGGTTACAAAGCCGGTTATACGTTGTATAAAGCTGACGTGAAATCGATTGGTTTAGTGTGGTTTGGTTTAGTATTGTTTAACGTCCTATCAACAGCTATGGTCATTTAAGGACGACCTCCCCTGTGTGTAAGATGCATGCGTGTAGTGTATGCGTGTGTGTTTTGGGAGGCTGCGATATGTTCGTGTTTTGTCTCCTTGTGATAGCGGGGGAACTGATGCCGACTTTATAGTGCTACCACACTGAAACATACTGCCGAAGATACCCAGCAGGACACCCCACCTGGTCGCATTATACTGACAGTGGGCGAACCAGTCGTCCCACCCCTACATTGCTGAGCGTTAAGCAGGAGTAGAAACTACCATTTTTACAGACTCTGGTTTGTCTCGGCCAGGGGACAGAACGCAAAGCCTTACTCACAGGGACGAACGCTCAACTAAAGGTCAAAAGTAAGGCATTGTCAAGGAAGATATTAGGAAGAAAAAAGTTGTTAAGAAAGGTGAAATCGAGCGCAGTGAATCATTTATCATAAATATGCAATTACGTGTCAAGTCGGTAAGTCTTTAGAAGACGTGTGACGTTATTGATTTACTTCCACATCACTGTTAAGATGGGAAGAAATAAGTTAGGCTACTTGTAAGTTTGATTTTGCGATGGGGCCCTGCAGGGGATAATAGTTGTGGTGCTTTACCGCAGAAATAAATTATCTACTCCAATTCCGTGATGATTGAATACGGCCAAGACATTATGCTATTTCCGGTTCCAGTAATTCGGTATGGTATTATAGTTTCTTGATAAAGAAGCACATTTTATTCACAAGAAATATTAACTTTTTCCTGGCCCCAAATATGTTCATTTCAATATTGGCATGTGTTCAATTAACATGTGGTGATGTATGCGTACTGCTAAGGTGATTTTATCGATTTCAATACAGACCTAGTATAGGACCTTATTCATTGGTTTCAAAGTGCGATAAGACGGACACGTATATTTAATAAATACAATAATGTTTTAACAATATGGCCCTTTAATGCTGAAACTGATCTTACAAAAGTTATTTGCCATCGATTATTCACATAGCATTCCAGTCTCAATCTCTCATATTAGTTCCCGATTATGCTGTACCCTTGATGGAGGATTCCCTAACCGCTGTCAAAAGCTGTAACTACACATTGGAAACTGTTTTTGTTTTTCTGACATGCGGTAGGAAGGTAATCTTTAATCAATAAGGAATGAAAAGTTGCCTCACCAATAATCAGAAATTGTCACATCTCGCACAGAAATGTTTTTAGGCAACCCACTGAAGCACACACAAAAACCCATTATCTTGATAGTTGAAAAAAACTTTAGACTTTAACATAAACGACTTACTCAGTCTGACGATTTTCTTCCCCGGTATTATGGTGGTGTATAATATAACTGGGCACAATAAAGGGGCATACTATTTTTTTGTTTTTTAATGGGAGACCTGGTTTTCCGAAATACATGTATGTTGAATATATAGTATGGTAAAATTTCCGAGACGAATAACCTTTTTTTTCCATTTTCCATTGTACAGAATTCCATTAAAAGTATCTGCTCCTGAATTCAACGATACTCTCTCTCTCTCTCTCTCTCTCTCTCTCTCTCTCTCTCTCTCTCTCT